AGAATACCTATACAATATATTCAGAAAGTATTCAGACTCCCTTCACTTTTGTCAGTTTTGTTATGCTGCAGCCTGATCCTACAGTTCTTGAAATTCATTTTTTCCTCATTAATCTACACTCAGTACTCCATACTGAAAAGTGAAAACAGAATTTTAGAAATGTCTGTAAATTTATTTTAAAAAAACCTGAAATATCCCATTGGTATTCAGACCTTTTGCAACATGTGAAATTTAGTTCCAGTGCCTCCTTTTTTCTTGATCGTTCACTTTGACAACGATCCTAAGCACACAGCCAAGATAACACAGGAGTAGCTTAGGTTCAACTCTGTGAATGTCCTAGAGTGGCCCAGCCAGAGCCCTAACCTGAACCCTATTGAACATCTCTGGAGGGACCTGAAAAATGGCTGTGCACTTGAGAGGATTTGCAAGGAAGAATGGCAGAAAATCCCTTCATACCCAAAAAGATTTGAGGCTGTAATTGCTGCCAAAGGTGCTTCAACAAAGTATTGAGTGAAGGGTCTGAATACTTATGCTAATGTGATGTTTCAGGTTTTTTTTTAAATAAATTTATGGATATTTCTAAAACTCTGTTTTCACTTTGACATTATGGGTACTGAATGTAAATTAATGAGAAAAAATGAATTTCAAGAACTGTAGAATCAGGCTGCAGCATAACATAATAGACAAAAGTGAAAGGAGTCTGAATACTTTCTGAATGCATTGTATTTCCTCATATTTGTTGGTAGGAATGTAAGCCTATCCAATTTTCTAAAGGTGAATTGGCCTTCAGAAGAGAAGTAACAATGCTTCTGTAGTACCAGCAGACGGGATCAAAAAAAGACAGGACGACAAAAGCAGCATTGCAATGCAAGGCCACCTCTTTTGTTTGTATATCTTATGTTGGTGCATCTATAAAAGGGGTGGAGCATGCATTGTGATGTCAATACAGTGGTACCTCAATACCCATTTGCTTCAAAAGTTGTCAAATTGGGCACTTGACGCATTTTGACACAAAAATGTGCCAATAGTCATCGTTTGTCTGGTACTCGATGTGCTGCAAAAGGAAATGGGACAGCCACAGAGAGTGGAAAGGAAGTCGGCCATGCTGGGAAGATCACTGACATAGGAAAAGGGACAAATAGGAAGTCCTTCCCAGCCGAAACAAAGGATCACATGTTAAGTCACGTGGTTTGTTTGGTACTCATCCTTTTTAGTACTCATTGCGCCTCCCAGAACCAATTAAGCACAAGTACCAATGTACCACCTTCTCTGCAGATGTCACTGCCATGTATCAAGATTTAGGTTTCAGATTTCTGTGAAGTTCTTAAGCAACTTCCCCATTGAAGGAGGCATACAACAATCTAAAGCAGTGTTTCTCAACCTTGACAATTTTAAGGCATGTGGACTTCAACTCCCAGAATTCCACAGCCAGCATTGCTGGCTGTGGAATTCTGGGAGTTGAAGTCCACATGCCTTAAAATTGTCAAGGTTGAGAAACACTGATCTAAAGCTTTCCTTCATAAGCCATGGTTCACTGGGCGTATTACTGCATGGTTTCATAGAATTCTGCATCCATATACAGGTAGTCTTCAACTTACAACCATTTCTTGAATGACAGTTCAGAGATACAACAGCACTGAAGAAAATAACTTATGACCAGTTCTCACACTTATGACTATTGCAGCATTCCTCAGTCACATGATCAGACTTTGGGTGCTGCCAGCCAGCATGTATTTACAATGGTTGCAGTGTCTTGGTGTCCTGGGATAGTCATTTGCAACCTTCTGACAAGCAAAGTCAATGGGGGAAAGCAGATTTGCTTAATGACCACACGAGTCACTTAACAACTGTATTGATTCACTTATCGACCACAGCAAAAAGGTTGAAAATGGGTCATAACTAACTGAACAGCTGTCTTGCTTAGCAGTGGAAGTTATGGTCTCAGTTGTAAGGTGGACCTACAACTCCCATGATTCTCAGAAAGCTGCCTATGACCATCCAGGTTGTCTGGCCAATTAAACTTTTTATGCAGAAAACTGAAAATTAAAATTCTATGAGGCAACCTCATGCAGATGATATGAATTTGCATCATAGAATTTCAATTTTCAGCAGCAGATTATATAATTTCAATTTTTGTATGATGGCAAATAACTTGTATCCAATTGAGGGCTTTTCAACTAGTGGTACAGGTACCACCTGTGGTACATTGGCACCTGGCAGGTGGTATGCGACCATCCTAGAAAAGTGGTAGCGGGGGAGGGGAATGAGCTGAAGCGGTGGTAGCACTGCAAAAGCCTGAGCGAGAGATGGCTGGAGCTGCAGGACTGTCAGGGCTCAGCGGAAGCGCCAGGATCAGTGCCGCTTTCCAGCTGATCGGCACTTCTTTGGGGCTGTCAAGGCTCAGTGGAAGCTCCAGGATCAACGCCAGGCTCCAGCTGGAGCTCGGTGCTGATCCTGGTGCTTCTGCTGAGCCTAGAAGAAGCACCGATCAGCTGGAATGTTGTAGCATCTCCAGGGTCTTGTGATTTACATTCAGATGCTTGGCAACTGATTCATATTTATGACGGTCACAGTGTCCCAAGGTCATGTGAAGTGACCAAAACCTGCTGCAACCACCCAGGAGATGGGGGGAATAAAAACCAAACACACCCCGCCCCACCCTCGCTGCCAATCCTCAACAGAAATGCTCAAAACAATGAAAACCTCGGACCGGAGGAAGAGCACCGATGGGTGGGCATGCAGGTGTCTTGCTCGGCTGTGGCTTGGGGGGCACTTTTTTCAGTGCCATTGTAACTTCAAACAGTCACTAAGCGAACTGTTGTAAGTCGAGGACTACCTGTACTTTATCACTTTTTTCCTTTTTTTTTGATCATCAAGTTTTTGACACCTTGCTAGGCGACTGGTGGTACTCGGATATTGCCATATCCTAAAAGTGGTACAATGGGTGAAAAGGTTGAAAAGCCCTGCAATACATCAGCAAAACACTGGAATCTTCTGTGAATTTCAGTAATCTTTATTTTTTCCCCTCATAAAATATCTTCAAGATAAAACTAACCTAAGTAGAACATGCTTGAGTTAAAAACTAGTTAAGAACTATTAACAGCAATGTAAATATTAGTCATAATAGCTGCTTTAAATAGAAAGTCAGGTCAGTATGCCCTGTATGTCAATACAGTCTAATTCCATATGAAGAGTGCATGAATTATTGCTGTGACAAGCATGAATTGCCATTAGCTGATCTTACATTGCTTGGTCTTACATCAGATTTTTATGGTGTAATCTAATATCTACTTAGAGGTATCTCCTATTTTGTTTAATGGAGCTTTCCTATAAGTAAATAGGAACATGTTTATTGGATTAGTATTAATCTCCTTATGTTTGTGCTAGGAGTTACTTTTTAATGCAGTAATAGAAAAAGGTAATTGGTGTAGTAAAAAGTAGGCATCAGCATCTTCTATAAAATGTGAGTGGACTGTTGACATCTTCAGATTCAAGAATTATTAAAATGTCCTTAGAACACCTTACACTATCAAATATCCTTTAACTGCAAAGCACTTAAATGTTTAATATGACCAAGATGTTCTGAAAACAGTCTTCTATTGCTGCAGTGTAACAAGGAAAAGCTAGTATAAAATTAGCTGTATAAACTAGCATTCTCTTCCCAATTTGCTGCTTTCCAGATGTATTGGACAATAATGTAGGCAATCTATAATTATCAACCAGCAAACTATTATAAGGGTGATAAAAGCATGGTTAAAAGACACTGGCCTAAACTCTTACTGCGCTATCTGGTAAAAATATAGTATCTTTATGTGAAATATTTCTGATGACATATGTATGCGGCTGTTTTGATAACTTGCATATGACAGTACTGAATACCATTCTGCCATTCATTCTTTATCACTTTATGATTACTTAGACATATAAGTGTCTATATATTTTCAATCTGGTGAATAAACATGAATGAACTTTACCGTAAAAGGTGATATATTTAATATTACAAACAACTTCATACTCGTTGAGACAATTGCATCTTTTTTAAAAATTAGCAATAGCAGTAGCCTTTACACTTACATACCACCCCACAGTACTTTACAGCACTCTCTGAGCGGTTTATAGTGTCAGTATATTTCCCCCAACACTCTGGGTCTCATTTTACTAACCTCAGAAGGATGGAAGGCTGAATCAACCTTGAGCCCATCAGGGTCGAACTCCAGGTTGTGGGCAGAGTCAGCCTGAAATAATGCATTTTAACCATTGTACCACCAAGGCTTCTAATTATCATTTGTAAAGAAATCTGAAATCAAATTCGATACGCAGCTCAAATTTTTTATAATTTTTGAAACAAAATCTTAACTATCTAACAAACACTATTTAGAGTTTGTGTTTTGTAGAAGAGCGAGTTCTTCAGGGAAGAGGGGAATAGATAGAAAGATAGAAGATATAGACAGACAGACAGAGTGTGTATGTGTGATCTGAGTGTACCATCAGTAGATGATTGTTGTGATTTGTATGCATTGTTAACATTTCATATTAAATCAAATTAAAGGCACTTAGGTGTCTTTTTCCTCTCAACATTCATCAATTGATTTTAACAATTCTCTGAGTTCAACATGTGCACTTCAAATATATTGGGCTACCATTCCCATTAAGCAGCAAGGTTGACATAATGAATAACATTTAATTTTGTAAAAAATATTGTAATAATATAATGAATATTTTTATACACGTGGATTACCTGTGACAAGGTCCAAGGTGGTACTCTGTTAAATTTTCTGTTGTACCTGAAGTTCTGTTCACTCTGCCCAAATTCTCCCTTAATTGTTTTTGTGTATTGGGGGCTCTCTGAATATTCTCCCCCAATATAGATTTCTGCAAACTATGGATTTCTAATTAATCCCTACTAAAATTTCAGCATTTTTTTCTCTCGTATGCTACATGAAAAAGTTAAAAATAGTGAAAGTGGTTTATTAATATAAATATATACATTTATATTTCAGAATGATAGTGGTAATCCGGCAATATCTTTTCCAAGCAGCAGTTCACAATCAACAACAAGTGTTCCTTATCGGACAGTGAAAGGTATGGATTCAACTGATGAAAGTTTTTCAGATTCTGATGAAGAGAGTGGTCTATGGAAGCGGAAGCGACAAAAATGTTCAAACCATCCTCCCCTCAAACCAGAGCCTTTCCAGTTTTCTCCAAACCCTCACAAAGAGATCCGTAAAAAAGTCAACAATATATGGGGTGAAGTTCTGCAGAAACAGAATCAAGATGATATGTCAAAAAACCTTGGGATTCTATGGATGGATGGCAACCTGGACAGAAGTCGAGGCTCCGAGACCTACAACTACATGTTAGCAAAAGAGTTGGTGAAAAGCTCTGAAACAGAAGCAGTTAAGACACTAGACAAAGAGTTGGAAGAATATATGCAAGATGATAAAAAGATTGTATCAAAAGAGGAGGAAGAAGAGGTGAATGGACAAGGTCTCTGGAAACGGAAAAGGCCCATAAAGGAGAAATTCGGTCAAAGACAAGAAATGAATTATAAAGGGAGATATGAAATTACAGAAGATGATCCTGAAGAAAAAGTGGCAGATGAAATTGCCTATCGGTAAGATTTTGATATTTTATTTAAGAGATTTTCAACAAAAGCAATGTTTCAAGATAATAGCAAAAGATAAAGATATTCTGGTTTTGAATAATTTTTATTAAAGCATTTTTTGATCTTAAAGAAAAGCTGTTGTTTAGATAAACAACTTTAAAGTCCATTCAAGTGCTTTGTTACTCAGAGTGCTAAATATCTGTTCCAGATCTTTCTTTCTCATAGACAACATACATATATACACCTATCCATGTCACTGTAATTATGGCTGCAAAAGGAAAACTTTTTGTTATCAAATATGCCAAAACATAACTAAAATTTGTAATAATGGATTTGTTTTTGAAAATATTGTCACTCAAATTACTTGGCAAATACAGAATTTCCATCTTTCTTTCAGGCTTCATGAACCAAAGAAAGATCTAATTGCACGGGTAGTGAAAATCATTGGGAAAAAGAAATCTATTGAACTACTGATGGAAACCACTGAGGTGGAGCAAAATGGAGGTCTCTTAATCATGGTAAGAAATAATTTGTCATGTAGTTTGTTAGGATTGCAGCTTAACTAATATTAAATCAGACCAAATGGTATTTCTTTCCCTATATTTTTCCTACTTGCTGTCATTGTTAATATTGATAATGTCACTTTTGTCCAGCCTGATTCCATTACTCATTACCATCCAATGAATACGTTTGTTGCTATCAAACACTATCCCTATCAGATTAGCTGTATACCTATTAGATACTTTCTTTTGGCAATTTTACCTGCTGTAAAAGCACAATATATTCATATCAATCCTCTTTGAATCAAATTGCATTATTGGCTCACGTTAGGATTACAGATCAGCCATTTGGGTCAAACATTGATAGTTAACCAGCACTTCTTTTATTGTGTTTAAATGAGCCTTGGTGCTGATGATGGTTAATGAATTAGCTTATTACATACAATTCTCACTGGAAAAATGACTTTGGTATTGTAATAAATGGCAGTCTTAAAGTTGTCAAGGTTGTCAGGAAACCACGCCCACCCCATTGCCGGCAATGGCGAAAAAGCTCCGATACGTTGCGTGATGTCACGTGACATCACAAGTTTGACATGTCTGGTCTAACATTACCAGAATCTCAAAATTGGTCACATATTAGATAGAAACATCTGATGGAATTACAGGAAGGAGAGTTATTGTCTGTGTATTTCCCTTTTGGGTTGGGGTTTCAGCCAGACCTCATAAAGGGATGTATGGATAATTTTTCACTCAAAATCTCACTCCCAGGTTTAATTTGCTTCTATAGAAATCAGAATTCAGAGGCTGTCTGAAGGAAATCTGCACAGTTGGAACAGAACCCAAAGCAGAAAGACTCTCTCTGTGGCTTCAAAACTTAATTTTTAATCTCTCCAAAACATTAGGAATAACAAATAACAATATCATTTGTATTTTTGCCTACTAGCTCAGGGGTGTCAAATTCGCAATGTCACGTGACGTGTCGCAACGTACCGCGACTTTTTTCCCATTGCCGGCAGTTTGACATCCCTGTACTAGCTTTAAAAAAAAAAAAAAAAAAAAGTACTATTTTCACAAATTTTGGAAGGCTAGAGAAATAAATAACATTGTAACACATCACTATCTTGCCAGAAACCTTCAGGAAAAACAAAATAGGGCGAAACCATAATCTCAACTGATTTGCTGCTTTATTTCTTGAAACATTTGACATTTCAAACAATATTTTTTCAGTTTATACAGTCAGTCTTTCGATAATTATATAAAGCCCTGTTAATATTTTTACAGGTAACTAATAATTGCATTTTCTATTCTCATTCTATCTCAGATAAATATTCAGATTCCAAGTACAAAACATTTGATACATTTTATACTTGCAGCTTTTAAAAGGTTAATTTTTCATCATTCAGGATGGTTCTAGAAGAAGAACTCCAGGTGGAGTTTATATAAACTTGCTGAAAAACACACCTTGCATAACCAGTGAACAAATCAAGGTAAATATTACATTCTACATTCCAATTTGCAGCATAGTTTTATACAACTTTAAAAAAAATTATTAATACAATATTCTGGCTTTACTTTTTCACATTCCTTTATGTATTTCATGAAATACAGGTAATCCTCATCTTACAGCCACAATTGGACCCAAACTTTCTGTTGCTAAGCAAGACAGTTGTTGAGTTTTGCCTCATTTTATGACCATTCTTGCCACAGTCGCTAAGTGAATCACTGCAGTTGTTAGTAATCTGCTTGTTAAGAGAATCCATTGACTTTTCTTGTCAGAAGGTGGCAGAAGGTGATCACATAACTGCGGGACTCTGCAACCATTATAAATACATGCCAGTTGCCAAGCATCCAAATTTTGATCACATGCATGGGGATGCTGCAAGGGTCTCATGAGGGTGAAAAATGGTCATAAGTCACTTTTTTTAGTGTGTTATAACTTTGAACGGTCAGTAAACAAGTGGTTGTAAGTCAAGGACTTCCTGTCAGCTGTTTTCTATACCGATAACCCAGGCTTTCATTCTTAACTCTTACTGTTGCAGAGGTTATTCTTAAGAAATTTCAGGTTCAACTCTTTCTCATATAGCTGCAAGTATGCAAAAATGAACTGACAAAAAAGAAGGTTGTACATTCAAAATCAGCATTCCCTAATCATTAAATTCTTCACTCTGCAGACAACTACCTATAAATAAAGATACTGTTCTAATAATATAATGATAGAATAACCCAAGCTGACAAAGTAGTAAATGATCATTGTCTTACTGAAGGCATGAGGCCTCTGTTGTAGTAAGTCAGCTAAATGACACCCCACTGTTGTGTTTTATATTTGGATCCTGTCCAACTCTATTTGAAAGATGTATGAAATTGATGTTACTAACTCTGCCTAGTGCCTTTCTTTATTTCAAACTGTAGGATGCCTATTCTTTTCGTTCAAAGTTTCAGTGTGCCGTTTTGCTCTCTGTAAAGCTTTTTTGTAGAGTACATATTTAATGCGTAAATATGTAATCTTTAGAATGCATGGAATTCCAAAAGTAGAAAGAAGAGAATGCCAGAGTCTGTGGGCCGGTCCACTTTATTGCTTAGTGTCTCTCTCTCTTCTGAGCTAAAGGCAAAGGCAAGGAGCCTCATCTCTGCAAGGATGTGTTTTGGGATTATTACATGGGCCTACCAACAACCTAAACATCCTTCTGCTTCCCAAAGCTAATTCTTTGAGTCCCAGACAAAGGATCTTTGTGACTCTCACTATCTATTCGATTGTATTTCAGAGCCAAATTCTCCTCGTAGCATATTTCCTATCTACAATAAACTGGCTCATTCTCCTGATTATTTTTTTTTTGCCCCCTTCCTTTCAATAGATCCAAGGTATATCTCTCAATTTTTAGATACTCTCTTTATCAATATTATAAATGGAGAGACGTCTATTTTATTATAAAATTATTATTTTACAACAAGGCTTTCTTTTAACTCTATAGAGAAGAATACATCTTCAAATAATTCTGCAGCAATATTTGAAAAAATAATGGCTTTTTAAAAAAAACTTGAGGGTTCTTTGTTAGGTAGTCATGATTATCTCTAAAAGTTGGTTAGGGCAATTGGTGTTTTGTGAAAGCTTTTGTCTATTATTCCTTCTCACTTCATGGGGTATTAACATTCTCTTTAAAGGAAATCTTCTATATTGAAAATCAAAAGGAGTATGAGAACAAATGTGCTGCAAAGAAGAGGAGATTTCAAGTGCTGGGCAAAAAGATGAAGCAAGCTATTAAAGGACTTAATCTTCACGAATACGATGATGCCTCCCGAGAGACTTTTGCGAGTGACACAAATGAAGCCCTGGCTTCTCTGGATGACTTGCAAGAAGGACATGGGGAAATAAAATTTGATGTAGAACATGTTTTTGAAATAGATGAAGGTGATGCTATCTTTTGAGCACTAGGTACTTGAGGAATCAAAATCTTTTGATGTCTATATTAATGGTCAATTTTATATCTTGTCATTAGTTGCAATAGTGCCTATTATGTGAATCAGTCACATGCTGGAAAGGATCATTTTATTTCTCACAATCGATGCTTACGTTTTCAGTTTGTTTCAGATCATGAGTGCCATATAGTTTCATTTATTTCCTAACTTCAACAGATACTTAACACCTGGTGCACATTCTTTCATCTCAAGGTTAGTTTAACATTAGAAAACAACTGAATGCTCTCATCCCAGAGTAAAACCTGTGTATGGAACTGAATATAACTGCATGGAAACACTGTTTCGTTTAACTAATAGTAATATAAACAAATATCACTGACACCCTGATATGGAAGCCTTTTAGCATGATCGTTGTTTTCATGATGAATTTGGGAACAGGTTTTACCTATGAGCCAGATAGGTATTCAGTCTGCTTGCAAGATATTTTAGATGGAACAGTAAAGAATATAATGCAGCCATGTCAAATATTCTTTATTTGGATGCCCTTCACAGTTGAAAAAGACTGTTTCTAAAGAAGATATGCTCTTGTCCAGTTTGTCTCCTGTTTTAATGATAGAACCTGAGATTTTGTTCCTTAATACAAAATGGTAAATACTACATGTTGCATGCGTAGAGAACTTCAATTTCAGCTTACGTTGACCATTAGTTCTGAGGAAATCATATAAACTTGCAATAATTAAAACAAACTTTTCTCTTTTACAGTTCTTTCAATTTTCAGTTTCTTATACCTGAGTTTTGAGCTAACAGTCCTGTATAAAATTAGTTGTACTAAGAGTAGACCATTTAAATCAGTGAATCTTTAGTTGTGATTTAGACTTAATTGATATCAGAGATCTGAAGAACCCTTCTGTTTGAATTCAGCCAGCATAAATGGGTACAAAACTTGTCTCAGTTTCACATTTTGTTTTGAAGTTAATAATTCTGAAGATGGGAGTTGGTTATAAGATTTACTCACCATTGTTCTTCCTATTAATTACAATAATCTTAAAGGAACAAAACAGTTAAGAAGTCAAGCAGCACATTTGTCTGAATCATAGCAGGAGACTTATGTATCATAAGTCTAAGGTTTCACATTATTAGAGTGGAAATTCCAAATCTGGTTTAATTTTCATTTATAATATGTACAATAAATAAAATTACTGGCTTTTAAAATGTATTTATTTAATTTGCCCAGACTTTTTAGGATGTCCAGTTGGCCTTTAAAAAAATGAAAGAGGTGGGAAAGTGAAATGAACTCTGTGTTGCTTAAATTATTCTGTCAATATATCAAACTTCACCACTGGTAATTAAATCCTTGAAGTGCAACAGCTTCTTTCAGTTATATACATTCGCGTATATTAAATTTTTAGTTCAAACTTACACAATGAGTTTCAGTGATTTTATTGTGAAAATAGGAGATGCTGCTGAGCAAAAAAAAAAGTTTGTGTTTTTGTGTATTAAAAGGATTTGTACACTGAACTGCCTGTAGCAAAGTTATATTTTCCTCTAGTCTTCCTTTAGTACCATGCGGTCCTTTCATTATGATGGGAATTCTTAGAAACCTAAAAGTCAGTGCTTCCTTTATAATCAGAAAGAAACCATATTGCCTTGGAATGATTTAATCAATTTTTAGTTATTGCAAGGATGTTTAAAAGATTTTTTTTAAAAAATATTGGTGAAGTAGATAAGAGGTAAGGCTATTCCTGTGGGATTGGTATTTGTTACACATCCATTTTTTCCCTTCATGTACTGTACATATTTGTTCCTGATTTGTGAATCCTTTGAGGAAGAAATAACGTATAAATTAGTATATATTTTATCAACAACCAGAGAAAATACAGGTAGTCCTCAACTTACAACATTATATTTGTTTGACTGTCCGAAGTTACCATGGCACTGACTTATGACTTACGAAAAAACTGATTTATGACAATTTTTCGCATGAGCATTGCATCATCCCCATGTGATCAAAATTCAGATGCTTGGCAACTGGTACGTATTTATGACAGTTGCAGTGTTCTGGGTCATGACATCACCTTTTGTGACCTACAAGCAAAGTCAAGGGGGAAGTCAGATTCACTTAAACTGTGCTAACTTAACAATGAAATGATTCACTTAACAATTGTGACAAGAAAGATT